TAAAAAGTAAACGTTATGGCAGTAACAGAAAACGTTTAGAAAATTGAATATAGTGGAACTTTTTTTTCCACTAAGTTTATTTTAGTTACTTACTAAAATAGTGGCTTATTTTAGTTACTTTTATATTTTTGTTGCTTATTTTGGTTCCCAACTCGAACTAATTCTTCCCAATATTTTTTCTCCCACTTTTCTAACTCTATTTTTCCAACTCTAACTATTCTCCAACGATTTCCTCCAATAACAATTTTTTCTACATATTTTTTCTAACCGTTAACACTGTGCTTTTATAGAGGAGACTAAGGTGCAAAAGCGAGAGAAAAGCGGAATGAATTTTGTGATGAATTTGAATTCAAAATTCAAAAGTCTCTTAAGAAATAAGGTGTGCGGGTGAAATGAGTACGAATTTTCGAAGGAACTCAAAAGAAAGATGTCTAATTCATGAACGAAGGATGGAGGAGCCATGAGATGCTTCCACCTGGCTGAGTCGAGGACGAGGTCAACCTGCTTTGGCAGAAATCTCGTACGAAAAAATGAGGAAGAGGACGAGGGTCACGCGATTTTGATCGCGTCTGTATGGATAAGGTCACATTTGGTGTGCGTATAGTTGTTGATGTATTAGATATTGGGCTGGGAATCTTTGATAAGTTGGACTGCTTATGTATTGTTTGTTGGGCCTGGGAATTATTGTATTGGAATGAGCTGCAGGAATTTGTGAAGAAAAAGGCCCAAAGTTGATTTTCCTAATTTAGGAGTACCTGCAAAATTTGAAGGGAAAATTTCATATATGGCAAATTTAATTGATTAAATAACATTATATGAGTATAGTTTACCTAATTACATTTTATGGGTATAGTTTAGTTATTTTAGGTATCTTTAATTTTGTATATAAGGTTTCTTTTGTTTTTTATTTATACAATTTTATTTTATAAAGAGTGGTTTGTAACTGAAGCGTTAAATATGCTAACAATAAATTTAGATTATGTTATAATTTAAGGTAAACGTCCATCATTTAAGGTAAACGTTCAAATTCATTTTTTTAAAAAAAATAAGAAGTATACAACAATTGAAACACAACATAAACTTATTTCTGCAGTTTATGAAACAGCAGTTCATCCATTTTTTTGTTTTTCTTTATAATTGAATATAGGTAATCGTTCATTGGATGAAAATTCATGTTTATTATTGCAATATACAATATTCTATTGGATTTACAAATTTTGATGTATGTGTGTTCATTATTGTGGTGATAATTGTATATAGCCATATCGTAAGTGTTTTTCTTTTGAAACTGATATCAAAATATATAATTTTTTTAAGAAGAAATTTTGTAGGATACAATTATATACTTTTTATTGATGTAGTATTTGTATATTATAAAGAAGATCATTATAATCGAATACATGTAATCGTTGGTGATTATTGTATATAGCCATAACGTAAGTGTTTTGCTTTTGAAAACTAATTTCAAAAATATAAAAAAATTTAAAGAAGAAAATTCATATGGTACAATTATATACTTTTTTTTGATGTAGTATCTGTATATTAGAAAGAAGATCAGTGTAACTGCGTTTCTTTGTTATACATATACAAACTTACCTTTTTTTTTTAATATGTGTACATGAATATGGTAGTTAAACATGACAATATATACAACTGTCTAAATGACTTTGTATATACAAAATAATATATAAACTTAATATATACTAACTTCAATAATTTGTATATAACTACTAAAATATACAAATTATAATCATATATGAAATTTTCCCATCTCTATAACTAAATCCATTTACTTGTTGTATATGTATGCAAAAACAAAAATCATATGGAGCCTTTAATATACAATCAACTACTATCACTATTAAAACTTAGTATATTATTCATTATACATAACTTAAAGTATGTATAAACTAATCAAATCCACAGACTCATACAATAACTAAATGAATATACAAATAAATAATGGAAGATATATAACTGAAGCATGTGTGTACTAAACATGCAATATACTATATATAATTACGTGAATACAAAATTTGCTTAAACAAATAATTTTTAGTATATACAACCACTAAAATATACGAATTATAATCATATATGATATTTTCCCATCTCTATAACTAAATACAATTACATCTTTTATATGTATACAAAAACAAAAATAATATGGAGCCTTTAATATACAATCCACTACTGCCACTATTAGAACTTAGTATATTATTCATTATACATAACATAAAGTATGTATAAAATAATCAAATCCACAGACACATACAATAACTAAAGGAATATACAAATATATAATGGAAGATATATATAAATAACAAAAAAATGTGTGTACTAAACATTCAATATACTATATACAATTACGTGAACACACAATCTACTAAAACAAATAATTTTTGTATATTGACACCTAAGTAACAAAAAAATTATATCTAAAGTTGTGTTTTAAGCCACTACCTCATGATTATGATGTTCTTCAGATCCGTCAATTTCAAATGCATTCTCCTCTGAATCAATGTTTACTGCTTTCCTCTTTCTTCCTCCTTGTACAATTTTAATGCCTCTAGCTTTGGCATTGTTAAGAATTTCTTGAACTGCCGTAGGGTTATATTTTTTCTTTGATCTCAATTCTTCCATTGTTGGTTTATGTTGAAATTGTTTGGATTTTACCATAGACCCTAAATCAACCCCAAAATCTTGAGTTAAAACCCATTGAAAACGAGGGTAAATTATCAACAAAATTGACATGCAATGGAATACCTCTGGTAATCCTCATACATGAAGATGATTCATTCATTCTGTGAAGAATTTGTGATCTAATAAGAACAAACAATCGATTATTTCATCAAAAAATATGAAAAAACAGAAGAAACACATTACATATACAATTGTTGAATAAACAAAAATAAAAGGAAAACGACTAAAATTTAGGAGTATCTGCAAAATTTGAATTTAATTTCGGAATGGAGGAATTGAATTTTTGACAATTTGAAATTCAAAATATAGAAGTATTAATTGTAGGAGAAAAAGCTGGAATATGAATAGGAGAGATAATATTATTTTGTGTAAAATTATATACAAAATTTAAAAAAGAAAGATTTTTATACGATTGGTTTAGGAATAGGTGGTGGACCCCATTAATTATAGCAAAAAAAATTATAAAAAGTAAATAAATTAAATTATACCCTTATTATATAATTACTTAGGAATGTTTGTCATCCCATGTAATTTTCCCTTTAAAGCATTTCACTAATAACAAAATAATAAGAATTGATATAAATTAATTAATTAACTTCTTAATCTTAAGAAAATAAAATAAGTACGTCAATCATAAATTAATCAACCTAAAAATAGAAATTATTATTTAAACCACATTAGTTATTTAAATATTTTACTAAAATTAATTTTTTTTGAAATGATAGGTAAATAATCATAAAATATATTAGTTATATATAGCGAGTCCAAAATTGAGTGCGAACAATATTCATGAATGGAATAAGTTCATTAATATTTGAAGCACTTGTACATTCTATGTATCACACTAGCACATTATATAATGAACCCAACAAGTTGTTACCTTCAAATTTAATACGTTGTTTGATTAATTGCATGATGTTTATGTTGTGATTTCAGATCCACTGATAATCAATGTATATCTTTTGTATTAATATTAGTCTTGGTATGCAACTTGGCATAGTATTGTTGCAAGAATGTGTCTCAAGTGAAAGACGAAAATCATCTGACGAGTTCTACCTTTCATTCATTACGGTGGAAGTTGTCTCAATAGAAGTTCTTTGTACCTGTTTTATACTAATATTTTGAAAGTTTGTGTAATTTCTCAAAATTTATACAACAAGGTTTATCCTAAGAGAATTTATTTTGCATAAAATTCATCTCATCATAATAAATTAAAAAAACAAAAAACTTGTCTCCATGTGATTGAACTTTAGCAGAGAAAAAACACATCTGAGGGGTCACAGCAACACTCATCTAGGAGGTAACAACAACACAATGCTGCCAGGCTGCAAAGATAAAGGGGGAATTTAAATGTATGAAGCTTGGAAAAAGTAGCTAAAAAAGAAAAAGCAAATCAATATAATTACAAGTAAATATAATTATAACAATCATAACCAAACATGAATCGTATAAATCTGAACAAGTTTACCCTCCATTGGATTTAGTGTCAAAAATAATACCCTTATTGATCGTGTTATTTTGATGCAAGTAATTTTTAAAAAAATTAATTTTATGAATGTAATATAATCTTAACCTTTATATTGATAATTATAGTTGACATAATCATTTAATTAGTTACTGCAGTTAATTAGTTAGAATTAGTTTGTTTATTCCTAATTCTGTTACTTTTCTTGTTACACGTTTTTGGATTCTGCATTGTATAAAAGAGTGACTTCCTCATAATAAACATTTACTCTTTTCCCAAACTTCCATCTTCTCTGTTTCCTCTCTAAAACATACAGCTTCTGTAACTTCTCTCCAAGTTCATCCATGGACAATTGAAGCATGGTAATGGAGTATTTTTAATATGGTATCAGAGCAGGAGGTATTTGCTCTGTTTTCTGTCGTTGTGTTGATCGAATTACTTGTTTTTTTTGTTCTTTGTGTTGTGATTCTGATCGATTGTTAGATCGAATTCAGATCAATTTGTTTTTCTCTTCTTCCGCTGCATTCATTCACTTAGATCCTTGAATTGAATCAATATGGGAACTGAAACTGGTTCAACTTCAAATGATACTACTGTAAATGGCAGTAGTGCTATCAATGAGGAACTCAATTCACCTCTGTATATGCATCCCTCGGATAATCCAGGTGCTTCACTGGTTCAAGTTCCTTTTGATGGAGTAGGATATAGATCATGGAAACGAAGTGTTCTCAGAGTGTTATCGGTGAAGAATAAGCTAGGATTTATTAATGGCGATTGTAGAAGGCCTAATCCAGGAACACCATGATTTCGTCAATGGGGAAGATGCGATGACATGGTTACTTCCTGGATTCTTAATTCTCTCTCAAAGGAAATTGCAGAAAGTGTGGAGTATGTTTCTGATTCATTCGAACTGTGGAAAGAATTAGAGGATCGATATGACCAAACTAATGGTGCAAAGCTATATCATGTTCAACGTGAAATTAACGAATTATCACAGGGAACTTTAGACATCACTACTTACTACACCAAGATGAAAAGACTGTGGGAAGAATTGAACACATTACATGCGAAAACTCAGTGTAACTGCAATTGTACTTGTGGAGCTAAGGATAATATGTTCAAGGTAGATCAGGATAGAAAATTGATACAGTTTCTTATGGGGTTGAATGAAGTTTATACTGTAATTCGAGGGAACATTCTCATGTTGAATCCATTACCTTCTCTAGCACAAACTTTTTCCTTGTTGATACAGGATGAAAAGCAAAGAGAAATCAAGCCTAACACTCAAATGTTCATGGAGTCTACTTCTCTATATGCTAAAGGTGCAGGGAAGAAAATCACTGAATCTGTTAACTTTAGTGGAAATAGCTCAGCAGGAGCAAGTACTTCTAGGTCCATGAAGCCAATTACCCCTCCACAGATAACTCCAATTTCATAACAAATTACTCCCAGACAAGTTCTTATAATGGTAGCAACAGGCCTCGAATGGTATGTGATTATTGCAAAAGACCAGGGCACACTAGAAATAGATGTTATAAATTGCATGGTTATCCACAGATGAGTAATCAGAATCCTCCTAGATTTAACAAAGGCAGAGTTCTTATGGTTGATGCTCAGGGTGAAAATTGCTCAGGAGAGGAAAATCACAAAGGAAATCATAATGATGCAAGTCATCAGCTGACAAAAGAACAGTATGTTCAGTTCATGGAGATGTTACAACATTTTCAAGCTGGGAAAGACAATACTCAACAACACAATGATTTTTCAGGTGGTGCTGTGAATTCTGCCTTTGCAGGTATGATAGCATGTACTTCTTCACTTGATTTTGGCAAATTATCATGCAGATGTCCTCACAATAAAATTGACTCTTGGATACTTGACTCAGGGGCCTCTAACCATATGACTTCCAACATAACCCTCTTAACAAATATTGCATACCTTCCTTGTCCTTTATTGATTACCCTACCAAATGGTTACAAAGTGAAAGTAGTAAAAATAGGTAGTGTGGTACTTGCATAAAACATTATTCTACATGAAGTCCTGTATGTGCCTTCCTTTAAATAAAATCTTATTTCCATTAATTGTCTCTCAAAATCTATGCCTAAGAGCATTGTGTTTTTATCTGAATTCTCATGTACTTTGTAGGCCCCTTCAATGAAGAGGCCTCTGGTGATTGGTGAGGCAAAAGATGGGCTGTATTTTTTGTGTTCTAAATGCTTGATGAAATCCAATCACTCTGGTGATGCATGTAGCTCTTCAGTCTCAATTTCAAGTCGAGATGTTTCCAGTTTCAAATCTGTTTCTTGTCCTATTTCTTCATGCACACATAATAAATGTAATCAACATTCTGTTCCATTCAATAAAAGTCCTTGTGTTTCTGCCTCTTTTACCAGTGATGATGTAAATGTGTTGTGGCATAATAGACTTGGACATGTTCCTTTTATGAAAATGAAGGAGATTAAGTCAATACCTGAGAATTTTTCTGCTAAACAACCTTTCATTTGCAATATTTGTCCCATGGCAAGACAAGAAAGAATACCTTTTCCTCATAGCACTCATACTTCTACCAAAATATTTCAACTTGTGCACGTAGATCTTTGGGGTCCATACCATAATGTTACTCATGATAATTGTAGGTATTTCATCACTCTTGTTGATGATTACAGTAGGTGTACATGGACTCAATTGTTAGCATGCAAAAGTAACACCTTGGGAGTTATAAAAACTTTTGTGTCAATGATTGAAACTCAATTTAGCACATGTGTTCAGACCATAAGAACTGATAATGGACTTGAGTTTGTCAATTCAGAAACTTCCACCTTCTTCAAAACAAAGGGAATTATCCATGAAAAAACCTGTCCTTATACACCACAACAGAATGGTGTGGTGGAAAGGAAACACAAATACTTGTTAGAGACTGCTAGAGCTCTTCTTTTCCAATCAAAGTTACCTCTTAAGTACTGGGGTGAATGTGTGTTATGTGCCACATATATCATTAATAGACTTCCTAATTCTCATGTGAAAGGAAAAACTCCTTATGAGTTGTTATACAAAGACAAACCAATCTATTCTCATATGAAAGCTTTTGGTTGCCTATGTTATCCCACAATTCCAAAGCCTCATAGGGATAAATTCCAAGCCAGGACAACACCCCATATTTTCATAGGTTATCCCTTTGGATCAAAAGGTTACAAAGTCCTAAGTCTAGCCACTAAAAAAATACATATCTCAAGGGATGTAGTTTTTAAAGAAAATATTTTTCCTTTTACTATTCTGTCTGATGTTTCTTCTTTTCCTTCTGTTTTTGATTCTGTTCCCTTCATTGAAACTCTGCATACTAATGTTGAAACACAAACTGGACAACAAGTTGACAATAATGTAATTGATGCAAATGACATTCTACCTCACATTTCACCTAATCATGTAACTGAAATACCCACCATTCAACACAATCCTGCAACTTCACCTATATCCAAAGCTGTCAACAGACCATCTAGACAACATAAGCTACCAACACATCTTCATGATTATATTCTACCCAAAAATTTGACTAAACATTCACAGAACCAAAATATTTCTCTAAACACAGTTTTTTCCAAACACCAACATATATCACCTGAGGTCCTGGCATTTGAGAGTCAAACTCTTGTGAGGAATATCAGTAATGATGAAGAGCCTTCTTCATATGGGGAAGCTGTTATGAATCCTGCATGGCAACAAGCAATGACACAGGAGTTTGAAGCCTTGCACACAAATCATACTTGGGATCTTGTTTCTCTACCTAGTGGCAAGAAGGCCATAGGATGCAAATGGGTTTATAAAGTAAAACACAAAGCTGATGGAACTGTTGAGAGGTTCAAAGCACGACTTGTAGTGAAAGGTTACACAAGAGGCTGGAATTGACTATACAGAAACTTTTTCACCAGTGATTAAAATGACAACAGTGAGGGCTTTATTAGCCACAACTGTCAAAAAAGGTTGGAATATATTCCAACTTGATGTTAATAATGCCTTTCTCCATGGAGACTTACATGAAGAAGTTTATATGGAAGTTCCTCCAGGTTTAGCAATACACAAACCAGGACTAGTATGCAGACTAAACAAGTCTTTATATGGTCTGAAACAGGCCAGCAGGCAATGGTATGCCAAGTTAGCTGAAGCCTTATATTCAAAAGGGTACACTCACTCATTGAATGACTATTCTCTTTTCCACAAAAAGTCTGAAACTTCTAGTATATTTGTTGCTGTATACGTAGATGATGTGATTCTAACAGGGACTAATGTTTCTGAGATTGAAGAACTTAAGACTTTTTTACATGACCAATTCAAGATCAAAGATTTGGGAAAGTTACATTACTACCTAGGAATGGAAGTTCTCTATAAAGATGATGGACTGATAATATCTCAAAGAAAGTTTGTTCTTGATATGTTGAAGCATTACAAGGTTGCAAATATGAATAGTTGCAGTTCTCCACTTGATGCTGCAGTAAAGCTCCATGCCAAAGAAGGAACACCTCTAACAGAACCACTCTTTTATAGACAACTTATTGGAAAGCTGAACTTTCTAACTAATACTAGGATGGATATATCATACAGTGTGCAGCATCTCAGTCAGTTTATGCAAGATCCTAGGGAGCCACATTTACAAGCAGCCTTTCATATATTGAGGTATCTTAAGACAGACCCTACTCTAGGGATTTTTATGTCTAAAGAACAATCATATTGTGTCAAAGCTTATTGTGACTCTGACTGGGCTGCATGCCCTGACACTAGGAAATCAGTAAGTGGTTATATTGTGTTGATAGGGAACAGCCCACTTAGCTGGAAATCCAAGAAGCAAAAGACTATATCTCTATCTTCAGCAGAAGCAGAGTATAGGGCTCTAAGGAAAGTTGCAGGAGAACTGGTATGGCTGAAAAGACTATTGGAGGAACTAACATTGACATTACCTGCACCTATTGAAGTATATTGTGACAGTCAGTCGGCTCTACATATAGCTCGAAATCCAGTATTTCATGAACGCACCAAACATATCGAAGTTGACTGCCACTTTGTGAGGAATTTACTTAAGACAGGGCTCATTTCGCTGCATCACATAAGTTCGGATGATCAGTTAGCAGACATATTGACTAAAACATTGACAGGAATCAAACATTCCTCAGCATTAAGCAAGTTATCTGTGTTTTCCACACCTCCAACTTGAGGGGTATTGATAATTATAGTTGACATAATCATTTAATTAGTTACTGCAGTTAGTTAGTTAGAATTAGTTTGTTTATTCCTAATTCTGTTACTTTTCTTGTTACACGTTTTTGGATTCTGCATTGTATAAAAGAGTGACTTCCACATAATAAACATTTACTCTTTTCCCAAACTTCCATCTTCTCTGTTTCCTCTCTAAAACATACAACTTCTGTAACTTCTCTCCAAGTTCATCCATGGACAATTGAAGCATGGTAATGGAGTATTTTTAATACTTTAGACACAACCAGTTTTTGATATGAATGATCATACTCTTCTCATCTAATTACTGAAAGGTTACATATCATCCCTTAAAAAGAACCTGTATTTTTGCGAGGTGGAGGAGCAGCATATGTTGGGGGAGGCATCACTGGAGGAGGATAATAACCTGCGCGCATGCCACCAATCATATTACGGTAGACAACAAATTTCAAATAGAGAAAAATAAATGATAACACAAAAAAAAATAAAAGATAAATTTTAATGATAAAATTATTTTTAATAATAGTAAAGTGATATTTTTCGTGGAACGAATTGAAATAAAAAAGTACTGACACAGACAAAATAAAAAGAAAATGTTGAACTAATACCTTGGGCGGGGTATGGAGTAGCGTATTTTTGAGGCTTGTTCTTAATTTCAGACTCTGAAATTAATATCAATAACTAATTTGGTGTATAAAATAATAATCAAAGCTGAAAAGCTTGTTGGAAAAAATTGTTATTAGATGAAAGTTATAAAATATAAGTATCGTGTTCGTACAAATGAGGCATATCGGAAAGTTGAACACGTAGCATGCTCCTCACATAAACGTGCCAACACTACAAGGATGCCTAAGTCGTCACTCAAGACTTTCCTCTTCACTTTTGGCGCACACTTTGACTTTTTAATTACAAAATTAATAAAAACTTTGGAAGCAAGAGCATGTTTGGCTTAGCTTAAAAGCTGGTCAAACTGATTTAAAAGTTGGTTTTTGATTTATTTAGCTGTTTGACAATATTCAAAATAGCTTATTTTAAGTTAAAAAAACTTATTTTAAGCCAAAAGTTAAAAGCTGGGGTAGGGGTATTTTTTTATTTTTAGCTTATAAGTTGTTTTAAGTTGACCACATTTTTATCTTTTTGTGCTTAATATTTTTATACAATCTCCAAATTACCCATATAACCCTAACATTTCTTTCTTCCATTTATCCTTTTCAC